TTCTGATACATTCCAGGCCCTCATGATAACTACTGTTATGTAGTTACAGCAACAGTGGAAGTAGACAGTTTCTCCCAAAATGCGAGTGTTGCGGCCCCTATAAGAAATTGAGACAGTGTGATGAGTTCTGTCTGAGATGTTAACTGACTTCACTGGCAAGCTCTGGAGGTCATATGATGACAGTTCAGTTATCAACAAGTGAGGTCACCCGTTATTTGAACGATCAATATGTATGTCTTTCCAATTTTGGTATTTCTTTGCGCACAAACTTCATACCTCGACGATGTTTACACGTCCAACGATCAAAAAACCTCCCCGTATATTTTGTAAAAGCCAAATCTCGAACACGTTTGCTTCAGAACAGCCATGCTGTTGAAACCCCAGGACACTGGCTATGGGTCAGAGGTTCCTCAAGTTCTTGGGTACAAATGACAGGTGTTGATCTACAATACTTCAAGCTAAAGTGATCGAGCGCCGTCATGTTCGCCATGTTCGTTAGTACTACAGTGGTCGGACCCCCATCTGAAACCGTACAAATTTTCGGAACATATCAATGGTTCTATCTTCACTGCAGGTTCTGACAACTCGACCCAAACCTGACAGTAAGCTACAAAACCCAGCCAGCCACATCATTTCGTCTGTTTCGAGCCTCAAAACTACCTCTTTCAGTCAGATGCGTTGCAGTTAACTTCTGGGTTATCGGCCCTGTCGTAACACTTCCCTTATCACGGACAGGCGGGCGACCTTTGCTTCGTGATAAAACTGAGACAGCATTTTCAAGTAAAACGAAGCTAACCTCGACCGAGCGTTGTGAACACTGACCGGGCTACATCTACTCCCAAAAAACGTGCAGAATCTGACAGAAGTCAGGCCACAATGTGACTGATAACGCTCCTTCAACTGCAGACAAGTTCTTCACGCGGCAGGACCTGTTTGAAGAAGAGTTCCAACAAACCCTGCGGGCGTGGATGTAAAACACCACGGGTTGCCTACGTTAGCATAGGTTATAATCAGGTCAGATTATTGATTCTCACAGCGTCGAGTATGAGGATGGCTGTCTTCTGGGACGTCGCGCCTGTAGCCTGGAAGTAGTCCACCGACGTTTCAGAGGTGCTTACTGCCTCCATCATCAGGGTGATGAGTTAAAGGATGTTCAAAACACAAAGATATATAACAAACTGATGTAAATGCCGTTATTACATCCAAATCTCTGCCATTGTACGCTGACCTGAATTGGCACAAACGAGTCCGAGTCTCGAAGACATACGTATATTCTGTAACAATTTTAACATCGTTGCTCCGTCTATGCTCACGTCCTCCAGGTTTCCAACACACGCTTAATATGAGTTTCTTGCTCCTTCATGTCCCTAAAAGTATCAGACACGCACAAAGCAGTTTAGATTCCACCACGCGTTTTCATTACGTACGGCACAACTAAAGAATATATAGATGCCAGCATTTCGTGTATTGCCCGGAAAATATTGCACATGCTCAAGCTAAAATCAGATCACTTTGCAATTATACTGCGTTCGAAAACGGCGAGACACATCATAGCACTGCTTCAAATTGTCCCGCTCTCGGATGGGGAGCTGGAAAAGCACGAAGGTAAAGCTGGGAGAGGTTACTAGCGCTCGGATGGAGGGTCCCCGGTTCGATTATCGGCTCGGAGACCGGGTATCTAGTAAGGCAATTTAATATCTTCCTCAGTCCTTCCTAAAGCAAATGCTGGGATAGTCGCAAGAATTGTATTCCACCTGCTTCCATTAAATGCCACATTCCGTCCGTATAAAATGGCATCGGCCTCATATCCGACGGAACAGAACGGTAGGTCCCGGGGCCGTTCTTTCAGACACAAAAGGCAATGTCCCTACCAGAATCCAATCACATACTGCACATATAATGTCACTAGTTCGTGGCCCATTCCAGTACCGCCCAGAGCTGCCGAAAAATTAGAAACCGCGGAAAGTAGCCAATGCCACAGCAGACACTACCATCTGAACTGATTTGCTGGCCACTCATCTACCATCCCAGGAGAAACCGCTGTGATGTGCTTTCTTTCGTTTTTAAAGCTTCAACTCCATCGTGTCTATTAGTCCTAATTAAGCAGTGATCGCTAAATTCACATTCTCCAGTCACGTTTCAGCAACAGGCTTATATACAAAATAAGGCCACGGTGTTGACTGGGACTGTACCCATTTCCCGCCAAAACACATGCGGGCTATCCAGCGCACCTGCTACTCTAGCACCTGCCGCTCGTTACATATATCAGGTTCAAATCTCGTTCGGAGCACAGACTTAGTTGTCATGTTCCATGGTTTTCCACCAGTCGCTCCAGAGGAATGTCACACTCAGAAGTATTTGGTGCCGTAGACAAGCCTTCAGCGTTGCCCCCCCCCCCAAAATTGACTTTCGAAAATAAATAACGTGCGTCAGTAGGCACAGGACTAGAACGCAGTTTATCCTTAAAATGAAATAACGTGGCTAAGGAGCAGGCACATTAACACAAGATCCGTAGCGCAACCGGCGGCGACGAGGAGGAGGAAAACAGCGGCACACTGCACAGCGTCTTAAAATAGGCCACGACACCTGCCGATCACATCAATTTGTATTCACAAGCATTACAGTCATACCACACGACCCACTCAACAACCTTCTCGCTACTTCTGAAATTAAGTTTCGCAAAATAAGAATATTAAAAAAAAACACCAAACGCACCATAACGTCTTCAATACGTCCACAAACAGAAATTTCCGCGGTGCAATCCCACAAACACAACTACAAAACAAAAATAAATGAAAATTCTCGTGATCCGAATGCGTGCCAGAGTAAAACACGCCAAGACGTGGCAACACCGACGACTGTTTGATGAGAAATGTAAATGTAAATGTAAATTTAGCCAGTAGCAGGAGCTGCTGTAGGATTAGCACGGCCTCGCGGTTTCGGCGTCTAGACAAGTCCAAATGCATCTAATTAGGAAACACCTCCGCGCTCCGGATTAGTTTGTGCAGGCCCACTGGTTGGGAACGGCTTCCTCCGGGTGCAAACTGTTCTCATGCAGCCGTGTTTATTTCATTACGATCGACAGCACAGAAGAGGTTTCCTGTTACTACTGCATTATAAATCCCAAAGATATTTTTCGGATTCAAAATAAATCGTTTGTGGTTGACATACGTATTCCAATCCTTAAAACAAGAATGGATGACACTTCTAAACGTAGTGTTGTACTTCAGCGGCCTTGCAAATACAAACCGACTGTTGGAAAGCCAGTAACACTACATCATCTCAAGTGATTTTCTTCCAACGTTGTTAAATACACACGAAACAAAAAATTATTTAAGTATGAAGATTACGTATCAAAATGCACTTTTATGTGTATATGATACAATCTGTATCGTGTCATG